TTGCAAGCAGTTTTTGTGGAAAGCATGGGGTTGCCCAAGGAGGTTTTGTTTGTTTCTCTTTTGTTTCTTCTTCATTTTTTTTGTGGAAGTTCTCGCTGCCATCATTTATGAACAAGGAGGACATAAACGAGGGAAAATGTGGCTTTGGAGGTGGGCGTCAGACAGAAAGAAGGGGACTGGAAGGAAGCATTTTTACTCCTCACACCCAAGTTAGATGGCGAACACATTTACGAACTAGGTGACATAAAAAGGTAAGACTACAAAATCTCCATAAATCTTTATTTACGTATTTATATCTCGATGCACTCAGCAACAAGTTACAGTCAAGAAATTAACCAATACAGCTTTTTTTTTTTAAGAGGAACGTTTTTTTGACTAACTGAACCGACATTTTTTAACGAATAAAAAGTCAACTTAGTTATTAAGTTGACTTGGATCAATTAAAAACTAGTTGCAGTCCATCAGACAATAGAACTTACAATACTATTGGTTGGAGAAATTATCTGTGCTGAAGGCCAAAACATGTATATAAGTGTCACAAAACATCTCGGTAGTTTATAATATACTCGAATTGTAACTGAAAGAGCCAGTTTCTGGCTCGCACATGGGTTACTTCTATACATGATTTGGACTTCTTGTGTTAATGACGGTGCGTAGTTTCGTCACTGAGTGTACTTACTTTACAAGCTGAGGAAAGTGCAACTCGGGATCTCAAAGCAAAGAGGTCTTTTATAGCAATGGCTAGTCAATAACCACAAGAATACAGGGAACAACCACTCAGTTTTTCAGTTTTCCGCAGCGATCGACCTTCAATTTTGCCAAAACAAACAAAAAAACAAAGAAAAGGACCATTTACTTGCTGCATATTTTAAAGCTCTGTGCTCGAGTCTCTGAAAAATGCCTGGTTATCCCCAGTTTTCTTAGCCAAAAACATTCAATAGCCAGAACTACTTCTTTATACCTGTATCTATAAACCGGGCAGAACACCTTTGTCAAGGCACGCCGGGTCATTACAAAACTTGACTGCAACAGAGTGTTATTAAACCAGTAGGCTACTTTAAAACCAGGCTCTCAAATACGACGGAGTGAAACTAAGTTTTTACCATTCCCATAATGGAGATGTGCTGCAGTTGTTAAAAGAAGTAGAACTCGATTGACTGCAGAAATAAAACAACGATTATAGCCACTATTATATCCAGTGTAAGATCTATCGCAACGTTTACGTACTTGTTGTCTGGTAATCATGAGGGTGGTCAGCGAATTTAATATGTTTTCTAAATCGTGCCAATTGAAACCAAAAATAATAAATACAAGTTATCAAATAATACGAATGCAAGTATCCTAAATAATACATAACAGTTACTTTTCTATAGCTGAATATATTATACCCAAGCTTACTGACGTAGCGATTATAAGGGCACATGTAGTTTTACATGCTTAATTTTCTGGTTATCTACTTAACAGCTGCATAATACTAATTTTATCTACTTGTTGGAGGTGAATGTTACTTCTTCCTTTATTGTCGAGGTAGGGTCCTAGGAAAACCCTTTCTGTACTTTTCAGAAAGAAAAGAGGTTGTTTCAGAAAGATGCTTTTCAAGTTGTTAAGTTTCTTTGCGAAACAAGGATTACCGGCGATTTTTCCAAGGTCATCATTTATATTTAATCACCAAAAATGGGAAAAATAATGCATTCCAAACTTAAAACTTTTAATCTTATTGCAGCCATTAATTGCTTTCTGCAAAATTCGTCTTGATTTGTCCGAAAAAGGACAGCTCTCTTGGGGTTGGTCCCTATGAGAGCTTGCCTACGGGCTTCCAAAATTGGAAAAAGAGGGGTTCTATCTCTTTCCTATTTTAGTGCTTTCATTCCACTCATCAATTCATTGCCTTGCGTTATATTCAAGACTAAGCACTGCAGCTAGAGGGGAAGGATAAAAACTAGGGTTAACGTACCACGAGAGGTAGAGGATACAACGATGATAAGAGGTAATCCTTTAAGACGTAGGACACCAAATTACATCACAACAGTGGTTTTAACTGCATAGCTCTCCTCTGCACACTTAACGCTTGGCCTGCAACCCTGTAGCCACACATGCCTGCATCCAGTTGATCGGGGCAACCGCGTCTCTTTGATTTAGCTCCGCCAACTGGGGCTAACCGCATACAACTAGGGAATGCTTTTTTGTCTTCGTCTTCACCGCTTCCGCATCAGAAACACTTGGTGCTTTATCTTGAGGTTCGGCAACGTTTCTGCGTTTTGCTAGGACAAAACCCCTCTCCTTTGAACGCGACTCGGGGCTTTCCTTAGCATATACAAAAAGATACCCCTCCTCTTCTTTACAGTCTTAATCAAATAGACACCACTTTTACTTTGGTACGTTTTCGCACTGACTATTTTAAAAGGTTAGCTATCAGTCTTGATACAGTTACCATTCTTGATAAGGAGCAAGATGATCAAGAAAAACTGTCAGTTTCTCTTCTTTCTTAGTGAACGTGGCCCAGAAAAAAACTTTTTTGCTTGTAAATTTGTCTAACTGCCCAAGAACTCCGCATTCCATTATCACGCTGAATATTTCCGGACTTTGGATGTTATAATCTACTGTAAGGCTTTTGTCGTAAATAATCAGCAATTGCAACGGGTGGCTATTAAGAGTCTGAGTTTGAATCTTGACGATGAATTTTTCGCTACCGTCACACTTGGGTTTAGGTCCTGTTCCAATGCCTTTCAAATGAGTCCCAAATGTTCGAATTGATCTTTGTCCTGGATCCGGTCGTTTAAAGGGTTTGACTGTTACAGAATAACGACTTTTCAAGGCGTTACATAGTCTGTTATGAGTGGTCGAATGTTTGACTTTGCATTCTCTGCTGCAATACGAGGCAATATGACAAGTAGCACACTTCACGAGGTGACGTACTTCACCTCGTGAGCGACGACAAAAAGTGCAACCACTGTAAAATCGCTCAATTACCTCTTTCGGATGATACATACCTTCTTCGTTGTTAATCTCCTTGTTTTTGATTAGGATGGGTGGGTTGGAATAAAACTGTTTTTCCTCATGTAGACGACCCGGAAAAAATGACCATATACGGGCAACATCAAAGGTAGAACTAGTACTGGGAATCTTTGGATACTCTAACCATGGGCCGCTATGGTCTCGCACTGTGTTTGATTCTAGGTGAACCCGTCCGGAATAGTTTACACCGAGGAAAATGCCGCCACACTTGTTGCCAGAGATAACATTTCCTGTAATCATGGCTGAAGTTCGCGCTTTGGCTAGGATTCCCCAGAATCCATTCTCAAAAATCTTGTTATCCCTGATCACAAGGTGAGAATTATTATCCAGCGAAAGACCAAAAGGCCTGTTGTGGTGTACATCGTTTTTGGTTATTTCTATTGTATGCCTGTTGCTCAAGGCAAAGATTCCTTCTCCTGCATTTTCGAATATCTTGTTGCCAGTGATAACGCATTCTCCTGCATTCGGGCCGATTAGGACACCATGGAAACCACTATTAAATATCTTGTTCTGACAGGCAGAAAGATTTCCACCTTCTCTCGCCTCTAGACCAGCTTGGTGGTTCTTGTACACCTCACATTTATTGACAGCCATGCGAGAGCTCTTGCCAATGACTAGAGCGCCACCACCACCACAGTCATGAATTGCACAGTCTTCAATGAGAGCAAAGCTCTCATCGCGAATTTCAACTCCGGGAGAACCACCAACACCAGACTGTAATTCAGAGTCTCCAAATTTACCAGTGCGATCACAAGCAAGTTTTCCTAAAGAGACCGCTATACATCCTTCACCACCATTGCATTCCGGAAAGTCCTCACAACTAGTTGAACCTCCTGAAATTTGACAATGCTTCATATGAATGGCCGCTCCTTTGCCTTCGCAAACTATGCCAATGTTTCCTTTAGGGAACACAATATTCTCAAAATAACACTTGGCGGAGGAAATAACACAGCATTCTGTACAACTGAAGACGACTTCTTTTCCAAGACCTACAATTTGGAAATCATTAAAGAAAACGAGGTGCTTTAAACTGTACACACCTTCCTTCAGGAGTAGGGTACCTTGTGCCGTCATTAAAACAAACGTCAACTGCGTTTCATTTTCTATTACTCTGAACGGCGTGCTTACTCGTGGAAATTTTTTCCAAAACCCTTTCTCGTTGCCAAGACTGGGATCATTTTGGATAGCTACTGCCAATGCGGCCATCTTTTGTCCTTCAAGGTGAGAAGAACCATTTTCAACAAGTCTTTGGAGAGCCCAAGCCTTGCGTTGCAATGCCTTACTGTAATGGGGACATAGTAAGAGGCACTTTTCACAGTCATCTAAAGCTTGTTGTGGCTGGCCAAGTTTCAAATAGCAGAGAGCGCGGTTCGCGAAGAGTCGGTGGTCATGGGAAGTCAAATCAATGGCGCAAGAATAAAGATTAATGGCCTCTTCATATTTCTTATTGTTTACTGCAAGATTTCCTTGCCCTCTGAGCTGGTCAACCTTTTCCTCCCTTTCTTTTTTAACAGAATCTGCTTCATCCTTGAGATCGCCGTCCAAGGCCGGTTGTCTCATACAATGGGATATCAGCTTGCAGTACCTGTCTTTTAATGGGATATCAATAAAATAGCCCGGTAGTTTTGCGCTGTAGTCTTCTTTGGACTTTGTTAGGTTCACTAGGAATTCGAGTTTAAGTTTCTGTACTTCCTGAGCTTTGACTTTCTCTTGAGACACACTGAGAAAGATTCCAGCTTCGTTAAAAACACGTACGGTTTCCTCTTTATAAAGCAAAGTATGGGCTGCTGCTTTATGTTCCACTGAAAAATTGGACAAATGTTCCTGCAAGTAGGTAGCATGAGAGGCCAATTTAGCCCATAACTGCAACGAAGGGGGATTCTCGACACTAAAAACAGCATCTTCAACGAAACTTTCGCACACTTCAGCCGGCGACCGAGTATTTTTCAGCGCGTGGTGAAGGACCCGTACTGCACGTGAGAGAA